AACCCCCCATCTCCCGCATCGCCCCCAACAGACCGGGCCAGCGGCCACCCAGAGACACTGACCACGTGACCTCAGCCAAGAGGAACACCAGAGGACCCCTACCACCCAGCCCCCCCGCCCCCAGTCCCCAACCCTGGCAGGGAGGGCAAGGCCCCACCACCCCCGACAACATTACATTAAAAAATTAATTATTGGAGTCCAACTGTCTTCAAAGTCGATCAATTGATTTTTCTTACAGGCAGACATCCTCTCCATGGAAACATAATCCAAGAGTAGATTTTTGAACAGATTTTTGTTTAAATTCTCCTTTGACTTCCAGTTCAGAAGGATTGTTTTCTTGGCAATGGTTAGTACTGTGAGAAGCATGCAAGATTTATTCGTGTCTATTAGGGATGCAACGGTACTCGGTAAAATACCGGACCGTTCGGTACGCGCTGCACGGTCCGGTACGCCCTTGGGTACCGCGGTATTTCGGTTTTGCACTTCCTTTTGAAAATGACGATTAATGCTTATCAGGCTCCAGTTAAACAGTAAGCGCCAATGAGCGAAAGCCCTCCACCGTGAGTTAATGTCCAATCACTTTTGTGGCTCCACCCACTCGCCCTCTCACACTGACGTAACTGGAGCTGAGCTCGTAGCTCTGTACGCAGACGCAGAAAAAAAGAAAAACAAACAAGTATGGCCAGCAGTAGCGGAACAGTTGAGATGCAGAAGTTTGAAGAAGCACCGGCTTCGTACAAATGTCCAGTATGGATTTTTTTCGGGTTCGCTGTAGAATACAATGACCAGGGAGTCAAAACAGTTAATAGAAATGTCACTGTTTGTAAACATTGCCTAACACGTGTCCCATACGCTAATGGAAACACGAGCAATATGGCTAAACATCTCAAGAGTAGTCATGCTGATATAATGGTTCCTGAACGGAGGACAGACCAAAAGGTAACTGCAGGTAAACAAGTGTCTATCGAAAAAGCTTTTCAATTAACAGACATACCCTGCTACTGTACATCCGATAAACATAAGAAAATAACCCGTGCAGTGGGAACGTTCATTACTAAAGATTTGCTACCCTTTTTTGTTGTCGAAGATGCGGGGTTTTGCCACTTAATTAAAACGCTTGACCCACGTTATGTTGTGCCCTGCCGTACGCATTTCAGCGACGTTATAATTCCCGACCTCTATGACAGCGCGCAAAGCCATCGAAAACGATTTGACTCAAGCACAGAGCCTCGAGTGAAATATAGAGTGTTTAGAGCACTTTAAGAGGCACTTTAACATTTTTTAAAGTGTTTTTGTTTACATTTTGTAAGTTTGAATTTTATACATGTATAGATATTTTATACATAAATAAGAGGCAGTTTATTATTTGTTTTCTTTTGTTATTTGTAGTGTTGTATTTAAGCCCAACCGAAACCGTGGCCCAAATACCGAGGTACATACCGTACCGTGGGATACCTGCACCGTTGCACCCCTAGTGTCTATATTAATGTTAGTGAGGTCCCCAAGCAGGCAGAGTGAGGGGGAGGGTGGGATGGGATGCCCTAGGTGTGTCAATAAGTCTTCACAAATCCTTTGCCAGAAATCGTTGACCGGTGTGCAGTACCAGAAAGCATAAGAACATAAGAACTATACAAACGAGAGGAGGCCATTCGGCCCATCGAGCTCGCTTGGGGAGAACTTACAGTAACTAATAGCTCAGAGTTGTTAAAATCTTATCT